CGCATCTCCCGGAGGCGAGGTGGCATATCTCCGCAGATCTTGGTAGAGGTAGTGGTAGTGCGTCGGCTTGCCGCCGCCGCCGCCGCCGCCCGCTGCCTCGTGCGCCTGCGGGAGGGAGAAGAGTGGGGAGTGAGGGAAGAGCGGGGAGGGAGGGGCGGCGAGGGAGGGGCGGCGAGGAGGGAGAGGGAGGGGAGGGGACCAGGAGGGAGAGGGAGGGGAGGAGAGGGAGGCGGCGGTGAGGGAGCCGCAGCGGGTCTCCCAAGCGTCTCCCAAGCGTCTCGGAAGGGTCTCGGCAGCGTCTCGGCAGCGTCGCGCCTTTGCGCTCGGGTTGAGCAGCGCGATCTCGTCCCCGGAGGAGAGAGTGTGGAGCTTAGACTTGCCGACCGCCTTGCCGTTGACGTACGTCCCGTTCGAGGAGCAGTCGAGCAGCTGCACCGCACCCTCCGGCATGCGAAAGATCTTGCAGTGCGAGGAGCTGCGGCGGGGAGCGGCGAGGGTCGGCGGGGCGCGGCGTCGGAGTGCAGGGCGTCGGCGGGGCGCGGGACACTCGCAGACGGGGGCGCCGCCGCGCGGGCGGAGTGGCGGGAGCGATGCAGCGGGCTGCGACGCGCGCACACACCTCACGCGGGCGTCGTCGATCTGGATCTGCGCGTGCGCGTTGGTGGTGCGCCCCATGACGCACTGACGCTGCTTTAGCTCGTGGATCCCAGGCTCGGGCGCCAGGCAGATCAGCCGGCCCCAGGCGGCGTCGGTCGCCGCCTCGTCGCCGCCACTCTGGGCTGGTGGCGTCGTCTCTGGGCCGGTGTCGGGCTGCTGCTCCTGCTCCTCCCTCTCCTCCCTCTCCTGCTCCTGCTCCTGCTGGCGCTGGCGCTGCTGCTCCTGCTCCTCCCTCTCCTCCCTCTCCTCCTCCTGCTGCTGCTGGCGCTGGCGCTGGCGTGGTGCGTCCTCGAGCGCTAGCCGCCGCGCCTTGGTGTCGGCCGTCTCCGCCTCGGCCGCCTGCCTGACCGGCTGCATGGCCGGGGAGCGGGCGGCGCCGGCGCGGGCGGCGCCGGCGGGCAAGGCGGGGCGCTTGCCCGCCGCACCGGCCGGCGCGTTTGGCGTGCGGCTCGCCAGAGGGCCTGCGCCGCCGTCGGAAAGACTGCTGCCGCCGCAGCACTGGCCAGCGCCGCCGCAGCCGCCGGGGGGAGCGGCGCCGCTGGTGGCCGCGATGCCGCCGCTGCTCTCCGCCGCCGCCCGCCTCGCGGCGCCACCGGCTGCGGCGCTGCCGCCGGTTGACGAGTCGAGAAGCGCCTGTCCGAGCCGCGCAATCGAGTCGCCTCGGCTCGTTCGCGTCTTCGGGGCGCGCGATGCGGCCTCGAAGCGGGCCCGCAGCTGCCCGAGGCTGGCGGGCTTGGAGCCGCCGCACGCGCCGCACGACGCGCGCTCGCGGATCAGCGTCTCTGGCTGCGCGCCGCACGGGCAGTACCAGTCGCGGTGCATCTTGACCTCGCGAAAGGGCGCGGTGGGGGGCTGCTTGCCCTCGAGCTCGCTGGCCGCCGCGTAGGCGCCGCGTCCTCTCAGCTGCACGCGGAGCTGCTTCGATCCAGACCCCATTGGAGCCACTGAGACGGCTTGTCTGCCGAGGCTCGTGCTCGACACGAGGTAGTCCTGGACGATGAGCGGCGATTGGCTGACCCCGCCGAGGAAGAGCTCGACGCACTCGGCGGGCGCAGCCGTGGACTCGGCGGGCGCAGCAGACGACGATGCGGCAGGCGGCGACAGGCGCCGCCGCTTCGCCCCCGCGGAAGGTCGTGGCTGTTGCCGATGAGCAGCGACCATCTGTCTCAAACGAGCCTTAGCCGGCAGTGGCAGGTCAGGGTCCCCCGCAAGGCGCGAGACACACGCAGGGGTAACCCGCTCACGGGGAAGGACGAGGTCTCGAGGTTGATATCCTTTGGCCGCGTTGGGTTGCACTCCCTCTGTTCTCTTCTCATAAAATCGTCTCATGCCCTGACACACACACACACACACACACACACACACACACACACACACACACACACACACACACACACACACACACACACACACACACACACACACGGGTCGCTAGAAACAAGAACCCCGCCCGCCATTGTTCTAAAGAAAGAAAGAAAGAAAACAGACAACCCAAGGGAGGGATGGGAGGACGGCACGCCGCCACCACACAGGGATTTTAAGGAGAGGTGTGTGGTGCGCTATCCGTCGCCCACCCTAGGGAGTCTGCCTCTTCCTATCTCTCTTCGCAGTCTCTCGCCGATTCTCGCTGCAACCTTCATATCATTGTTCTTCCAGATGCGTCTCAGAAGAGACGTTTTTTTTTTGATGAACGTCTCACGTTCAGGTTGATCAGTCAGGATCAGTGGTGATTTCACCGCCGGCTGCGAGTACTGGTTTCGAGGCGAAGAGCTCTGGAAACTCGACTATCGTCGC